TCAATTTGACCAGCTCCAACTACGGTTGTAGCAATTGATCAGGGCACACCGCAGCCCGTACCACCCTTTCAGCTCTGCGTGCCTGCAAGGAGTTTTTTGGGACAAGCTTGGCACGACACATTGCAGCCCAGGCGAAGTCGGTGAACAGCAAGATCAAAATCATAGGTGCGGAGCCTGAATGTGCGAAGAGCGCTTCTCGGCCGGCTTCAAAAAGACGCACACACACAAACACAAACACGCATTTGGGTCTGGAGAAGGGCGCGTGTTCGTGACTCAGGCATTCATGTCGAAGAAGGCAGGTCATTTGGCACCTGGGCGGCAGGGGTGGCAGCATGGAATGAGCACCTGCGTTGCCAATGCGCAATACTTGGAAGGACACTTGTTCAGGGTTTCTTGTGGGAACGCCACAGGCACTGTCTCTTGTCCCTAACAGTGCTGCTGACCCTACTTGGAACTGGTAGAGTCCCAGGTTACAAACCCGCCCAACGCGGTCATCGACACCATTGCCGATTCTGTGAAGAGCAGCCTGGGTCCGACCACGTATCCTTTGGTGCGGGAGAGCTGGCCGGCGTGTTGAGAGTCAGTTGGCTGATGGGCTCTGATGGGCCCGGGGGGGTTCGGGTTGCCCTTCCTCGTTCAAGGTTGCGGAAAATGGGTCTAAGCAACCAAGCCCGTTTAACCCAGAGCAGTATGTTTAACAAGGAGGTCGGACCCTCCTGACCTGATTCACTGCGGGGAGCTGCAGACACAGGACCTGGTGGACGATGTCTTCACCGCCTCAGAGCAGGAGATCGAAGATGCCACAAAGTTCATGATGGAAAGGGCCAAGCAGGCCAAAATACAGTTGCCAAGATTCTGCAAAGACCTGAATGTGGCAAATTTGTCTCATTCACAGGCGGCTTCTTTGCCATTCATGTGCCAAAACGGGACCTTCGATTTTGGAGTTCAGGGAGCCCCATTTCCATCTTTGGCACTTCTCGTCCAAGCCATCAGACACTACAACGCCTTCCCTGTTACAAGCAACTCAGCTCCCACGTATAGCTCCCCCCTTGGGTCGCTTCAGGTTGTTAACAATCGGAGGGGGCATGTTTCTATGTGGGGTAGTTGCCTGGCCATCATTTGCCTTGGTGGCTCCCAGCCATCCGGTTCCGTACCTTTTTAGATCTTTCTCGTTGGTTTAGTTTGTGGGGGATCCCGTATTTACGCCACTAACAGTTAGTCGCTTTTAGCGGTGGATCTGAGAACGGGCACCCCAGTTACAGGCAGCCAGCCTTGTCATGACCCACTTACCATGGTTATAAGTCTCCTAAGTCAGTCGCCAGGCTTACTCTCACCACACTTGACCCGACGTACCGAATCGATCGCTCATTTAGAGTCGGCGAATGCCCAAACTCCCCCCCCCCGCCCGCCCCCGCCAAAGCCCCTACTTGGTTTGGAGGTTTGGCGGACTGCTCGTGTCAGCTTCCCCCTCAGTCATGTGGCCTCAATGGACTGGGTCGGTCTGGCAGGTGGTCGAGCCCGGCTGCGGCCTGGCTGTGGCCGTGGCCACCTCCGGCCAGCTCTACCAGAGGCGGGGGGTTTTCCGGAGGGACGGAGGGCGGGTTGGAAGCGGAGGTTTCGAAGGTTCTTCGCGGTGGTTCAACAGCTCCTCCTGTTGTCCATTTCTTTTTTGCGGGGGGAACAAAAACAACAACGACCAAATCAACCATTTTCTTTTTTTTTGGGGGGGAGGCGGGGGTTGGTTTGAAGGGAAACCAGCCGCACTACCGTTGGGGTCCCTATTGTGACACCTCCACCGGTTGGGCCGGTCGCTGGAAAAGAACAGCATCGGTTTCAACCGGACACGGAGCTCCGCATGGGAACAGAGACGCTCACTGCACCCAACCACGACCCAAAGGAAAGCCGGGTACGACCCTTGGGGCAGTTTGAAGGGAAGCCATCTTAGCTTCCTCAGTCGTTTTACACATATCGGAAACCATCTCTTCCAGTGTTTTTTTTTTTTTCTCCCTTGTTGGTTAAAAAAGGGAACTTATCACTGCTGAAAGAATATGTTACCTTTTCCGGGCTTAAGCCACTGGAAACTCAATCATGCCGCAAGGTCAACATGTCTTAGCTTTCCTGAAGCATCTGCAAGGGAAAGGTGCACGGCCACTTCAAAACAGCAGGCAACTTCGACTTCTCCCCTCGCCCACAATCGCCAGTTGCTGTAAGTTTGCAAATGGGCCCACTGCTGCAAGATGCACCCCTTTAGGCCTCACGTTTTCTGAATGCCTGCACTCGTAGCCTTTGTTGAGGGGGGCCCTTTGCACTCGGCATCAGTGCCGAGTGCTGGCCGCCCTCAGGCTGCTTTGTGCACTGGTGCTGTGCCTTTTTGAATGGAACGAATGGCCACGTATTCCAAGTCCCGACTTTGCAGACTCGGCCTCGCCCAGATACCCAGACCTGCGGAAGGTGGGTGTGGTGCTTTGTGGTGGCAACCTGGGCTGACAGAAGGCAGACTCACCGAGCTCGAATCACGACACATTGCAACCCATCACCATGTAACAGGCATGGGCCAAAGAGGGGGAAGTCCTGCTTTTTGTCCGGGTTCACCCTTTCGGCCACTCCGGAAATGCATCGCTGTACTCATTTTGTGGTGAAGCCGAGGTAACGTCGACTTGGAGAATTTGCCCTGGTGCCGCAAAAGGACCGACCTTCCGGAAGTCGCTTTCGGGACCTGGGGCTCAGCTTAAGGCCAAGACGCCAAGACGGGGGGGCAGTCCGCCTGCAAGGCTTGGCTTCAAAAACAAACAATTGGAACGAAGAGCAGAAGTTCCGCCCTTTAGCTTCAGACACGTAACGCAGATGCAAATGTCGCATCGGCGACCCAACCGGCAAGATTGGGTGGCCGAACGCGTTTTCCGTGCGCGAGGAAAGCGGACGCGACGGCTCAGCCGCCAGGCACTGCGGGTGCGCCACATTTCAGGGGTTCCATGCAGCTTGCCGCTACCTCGGGCAGTGCGAGTTGTTAACCCTTGGTTCTGGTAGAAGGTAAATGGAAACCACCAATCCAAACCACCAAACCACCAATCCAAACCACCAACTAGGAGGACGGTCTGGCCAGTCACTTGTCCCATCAGAGTCATCGCCTTTGAATCAGGAGTCTGTGCTGTATGCTGGACATCGGCAATCCCAGCAGATGTTGAAAGTGACTTTGCACGATGGTTAGTGTCTGCTTGGCTGTGCCAACTTCTCTTTGAACAATGACCCAGCAAGATGCCCCCCACAATCCATCCACACATGGCGACACGACACAGGCAAAGCGTCCATATGCGTCTATGATGACACAACAGAGGCAAAAAGTCCCTATCATATAATGCGTTCATGCAGCGCGCTGACTTGACAAGCGACAAGCAGGCATGTCCCCCCCCCCCGCCGTGACTGGCATTTCTGCATGCGCTTGCTCAGGGACCCCCCCTAACACACTCGTAGTTCTGCTTGGCATTGCAATCCCATTTTCTGATCTATGTGCTCCCTCTCTTGAAGAACAAGGCACGCAAAAGAAGCGGCTTGGACGCCTTCCCTCCCAACACATGGTAGAGTTGTGCCTTGCCATTTTCTGCCGCCATTTTGTGGAGCTGGGCAGGCAAAGCCACAAAAGTGTGAGCCTCTCGGGGCGAATGCTCGAGCGATGAGAAAAGCCGTGCGATGCAAGCGCTCCCAATTTCGCTCCCCGACGTTGGTCCATGTTTCATACATTGGCATTGTAAGGTGTTTAGGTAGTCCCAGATTTCTCCATGAGACCTGGCTTAAATGGCCCTTGGCCAAGGTCAATCGGATGCGCAGGGCGGCCCAGTATCAAGGATACCAACTGGGTGAGCTCACAACCATCCTCTGACACCTGCCCAAGTCTGCCGCTGTAAAAACGATGATAGGGTCCGAGTTTTGGTTCCTTGTTGTTGGCGGCTTGCATCAAAGCCACAGTTCATTTGATGGGGTTTGGAGCCGCAGTGGTCCTCCGTGGCCTGCACTTCCCCACCCCACCCCTACAAGTATACTTAGTACTGTTGACCCCGTATTAAGCAACCCCAGTTTATTAATGGGTTGAGTGGGGAATCATCACTTTTGGAGGGGAACACCCTCTATTAATCAACTGTGGTTGATTAATATGCGGTGAACAGTAAGTGGGTAACAACCATGGTTATAACCCACTTACCAGGTTACAAGTCTCTGTTCCATGGGTTGCAGCCAGGCTTACTCTCACCGCTTGCATGACGTACCCTGCCTCGATCGCCCCTTTAAGTAGCTTCCGCCTGCGTCTCGGCGTGTTAGCGGTCTGAGGCACCTTCTTCATGGGTGACCGGTGGCGCTCCCAGCGCGCCGCCCCAGAGGCATCGTCTGAGAATGGCGCGCTGGCGGCTGAAAGGGCCAATTTGGAAAGGAAGTTTGGCCTGAAGCAGAGCTCATTGCTTTGAAAGGTAGCGCTGTGAGGTTTGGCCTGGCGCAGTGAGGTTTGCAGATTGGGGTGCGGTGGAAATCAGTCAACGCAGGACTTAACATGGTCGAATCTCTGTTGGCGCAAGTTTGCACTTGCAAGCTTCTTCGCATTCTCTGCTCTACAGGCAAGCCCTAAGAGCAGGGGAGTTTCAAAGAAATATTCCTTTTGGAGCCAGGGTTTGGTATAGAGCTGGGTGCTGTGAAATTCGGTCAGCCCAAGAAGAGCACCCAGGAATAGCAATGAAAGTGCTTGCAGATGCGACCTAACCACTCATGACTTCTGATCGCAACCCTTTACGGGAGGCGCGCAAGAGCGGCAGTAGCAACTAACCACTAAGGACGCAGAACGAGAAGCTCCCACCGCATGTGCGATGCTCCTTCCCGCCGGGCGCTCAGCTTGCTTTCCAATGCCCGGTGGCTTTGGCCTAAAGCTGTGGAGCTTGCGTTTCGACTTTGAATTGAAGTGTTGTCTGGCGCTGAGACAAATGGCATGCAACAGGCGGCCGGCGAGCCAGATCTCAACCCTTGTGCATTTTTGCAGATTTTTATCCATAGCATGGGCTGCTTCTGCATTTTGCCGCTTACATACTTTGGGGTTGGTGTGTTTTTTCAGGGTCCAGCATGTGCAGGCTTGAGCTCTACAAGCGCTTTGAGGAGAACTTGGGCACCAAGGCTTGGTCTCTTGGCGTTTGCTTGGGCCGTTGGGTGGCTCAAGAGGCAGTGGCCCTGACGCCCTGCGGCACAAGGACATTTGCCTTGCCTCAGGCAGCAGTGGACGTGTGCCAGATTCTGAATGAGCCCGCGGGGGCCCCACTTCGCACGTGAGCAATGGAGCACATTCGCGTATGAACAGTGTGTGGGAAACAGGGCCCCGGAGCCCTCATATTCGTTTGTCCGATTCGTCCAGCGATGGAGGGCCTGTTGGCCTTGTTGGTTTAGCAGATCGTGGGGCCTGTCTATGTGCTGGGCGCTGCACTTGGCTCGCGTGCACTTCCTTTTTGCGTAAGGTGCAGGCGTCCTGGGGATGCAGGGCGGGGGGGCTGTCCCCTCACAGCGGCAATTCCCCCGCCCGTAAGTCCTCCCCCGTTTGCGGCTTGGATCGTGCACGTTACTTTTTAAATGCTGGACGTGCAGGGTTTCCGTGGATACTGAACTGGCTATCCAATCCTTTCGACAATTTCTTCGTGGTGCTGGCCCGATGCAGGGCTATTTGTATCCGGAATTGTACCTTGGGGTCGTTGGTAGGGACCAGAATCTCTGGGGCTCAGATCTGCTCCCCCCGCACTCCGCTTTTGTTCCGACCGTGGCCAGTCTTCTTCAAAGCTGGCCTGACCTCCAGCTTTGGTCTCCTTGCTTAAAGGGGCATTGTACTTAGTAAGTGGGTAATCACATGGTTAAAAGTCTCCTATGTGGGTTATAACCAGGCTTACTAACAACTTACTAAGGACACTGCCCCTTTACGTATCCCTGAAGTTCTAGGAGAAGTTGCTGGGACCATGGCTCACCAAAGCTCACCAAGTCACCAGGCTCTGTCGCGCCGAGGCCATGACCTTCTTGCGGGTGAACACCGCCAGGGTCTCTCGTGACAAGGCAGCGATGTGCCTCGGACAGCCGCTGAGGCGTTTAGGGTGAAAATTGGAAGGCTAGTTTGATGGGCGACGCGTTCAGTTTTTGCATGGTTGGTCCAACGGGATGAGGAGTTTCTCAGACAGATGAGTTGCTGGACTGGAAACTTGGGCACGGCGAGCGGAATTTGCCACGTTTTAACTTGTGCAGATACACACTCATGCTCCTGCCTGAAGCCGCGCAGGTTTACACCTTTCTGAGCAGCCGCTCGGTGCCAGTGGAGAAAACGAGATGCTGGCCTGCTTGAGGGCCGGCAGCACCTCCAATTCTGTTAGTTTTGTTTGTTTGGGGCCGGGGGGGGGGCCAGGGGGGTGTTTGCAGCTTGTATTGCTTCCCCTACCTTCGTTTACCATCCTTCTGCTTCCTTTGACTTCCTTTAACTTCCTTTTAATGTCCTTTGGCTTCCTTTACCTTTCTCTGGCTTGCTTCAGCTTCCTGCAGCTTCCTTTGTCCTTTAGCTTCCTTTTTCTGCTGCTTTGCAGTAACCCCCTTTGCCCTTGCCCCTCAAACCAACCTATGAGCATAGTCCTTCAGGCCCCGTTTTGGTCGCGTTTTGCTGGGGGGACTTGCCAGGCTGGGTTCGAAGATGGGGCTGCTGCTGACCTCGAAGCTCTGCGGCCCAGGTTGGTGATACGGGAGGTGCCCTGACGACCAGCACCGGGGTGATGTTTCCAGGAGGGCACTCCGCTTGAAGCTGCCCAGAAGGCCTACCCAAGACATCCCAAGACCCTCAAGTGGGCGCGGGCCGCAATCGAGGCAGAATCTGCTGGAGATCCCGGAGTACAAGCTGGGGTGATCCTAGGGCCCCAGGCCCCAGGCACGCAGGTTTCCAACAGGTTGGCCACCAACATTGAACGCTAAGTAGTTTTTTTAATGGCCCAAAGGAAGGTGAGTTTCTACATTCCCTTTTGCGGCGTTGCGGCATTTTGGGGCTCGAGCGATCGTGCACAGCGGCAAGTCCGCAGCTCGCAGTCGTTTGTACAAATGTTATTTGTTGATGCGGATGTGCGGTTGGCAAATGCAACGAATTGCTACGATTTCCTCTGTGCAGTCACAGCCCCACCACGCTAGCTTGCCAATTTGGCAAACCTTGAGCCACGAGTGCCCTTTGCGCATGAGGGCAGGCAGCTGGAGGAGGCAAGTGTTGACGTGTGTGCCGCGAGTTCGATCCGCCTGCCTTTGGGCTCGTTTCGCGAGGAAAGCCGAACACAGGGATCGCGCACTTGCACGATTGTCAGTATCGACGTGGTGTGTATATTTTCAAGGGTACCTGTTTTCAGCTTGGGTTGAGAGGGAAATCAAAAGGAACGCCACCACTAGCTGAGTCCCTCTGTTTTGACACATGCCCACACCTTGACCTCAAGCCACACCAAGTTTGCATTCCAAGGAGGTATCATTTTCCCTTCAGCCCCAGTTCCATTTGGCGCGAGTGGAAGCGTTCGACTCATTCATTTGCCACCTTAAAATCGCATACAAGCCGAGTGGCCGCGATTCTTTTTTGGTTTTTAGCACCTTGTCAAGCCGAGAGGCCACATTGTTTAGCCCTTGGTGCCAGAATCCAATGGGTGCCTGCTGTGACTGGGCCATTGAGCTTGACGGAAGGGAACCCGTGAAGCGCCCGGCGCCATGGAGCCATGGGCCAGGAGGGGAGGGTCATTGGAGGCGGAGCGGGAGCGAGCTGCGCGCGCTACGGGGCAGGGCGTAGCGCAGGGTCCAAGACTAAAGTGGTTGACAACGCTCTTGTGGGACTCGGTTTGCATCTCAACTTCTCAGATGCCTCGCCTTCAACAGTCAAGCGGCCACGATTTTGTTTGGAGATGGATGCTTGCAACGTCGGAGGCTTTGAGGAAGTCTTTGTAGGGGACGAGTGACCATGATGTTTTATTCACCTTGCAAAGGGGCATGGATTGTGCTCATGCTTCTTTTCCGTTGCTCCTGGGCAAAAAGGGATTTGTCCCCTTTGCTCGTCTTCCCAGTTTTGCCCCTTGTCGTTGTTTTTTTTCCCCCTTTTTGAATCAACACAAGCAAGTGGCTTCTTCTTTGCCAGCGCGCGCTTGCCAGGTCGGTTTGTCCTCACAAAGATGTTGGGCAGCGGCTCCTTCGGCCAGACGCTCCGCAGTGATATGGCGATTCCCACCCCCACCACAGTAGTATGAGAGGGCCGTGGGAGAATGTATGAGGTTTAAAATCAGGGCTGAGGATGGTTTGGGGTATGCTCCCTTCGGAGCTCTAGACTCTACCCTCTTGTTTGGTCTGCTCTGGTGAGGGGCGTTTGTTCCTCGGCTTCAGGATTTACATCGCCAAGGACACTGAGGTGTGTGACCGGGACGTGGCGCTGAAGCTGGAAGTGAAGGCGGGAGGGAGAGACCAGAGTAAACGGTACTTAGCAAGTGGCTAAGGAGCCTGGTTATGACCAACGCAAGCCATGGTTACAAGCCTCCTAAGTGGGTTATAACCAGGCTTACTTACCACTTCCTAAGTACCTGCCCCTGAAAGGAGGTAAGGGTCAGGGACGGATGCCCTGAAATCTGTCCACGGCCGTTGCAAGCATTCCCGTCATCTCCTTTTCAAGCTGTTCTGCAGCTTGCTCCCGGGGGATGTGCCTAGCTCTCTTGGCGCTTGGACAGCTCGGCTCGGCATTTGCATCCAGGAGACGAAGCACCCGCAACTCATCTACGAGGCAATGGATATGCCACCTCCACCAAAACTCCGGTGGCTGGCTGCCCGCAGTTTGATGTCCAGAGGGAAAAAAGACCTCGCGACAAATCTTGCCAGAGCCCCGGGAATTGCGCCGGCAGGCGAAGCTGTTGAAGCTCCTGCAAGGCTCGCCTGGAGTGGCGGAGGCCACGCGCGAAGCCGCAGGAGCACGGGACAATGGGGGGGTTTGTCCAAATAGGGGTCCCATGAGTCCCCTGGAATGGTTGGCTTCCTTTTGTTTGCCGTCAAATGCAGGGAAAACTACCACTGTCCCACTAACACAAGGCAACTCACTCATTTTATTATGAGTTTAACCGTGGAAGACGCCACTGTGGTTACTCAGCCGGGCAAGGGTGCGTCTGTTGCGAGCAGCCCGGCAAGTTTCTTTACCACGTAGATTCTAGCCAGATTGATGAAAGAACCAGACCCTGACCCACTAACAAGCGTTGGTCCAAAACAACCCTGGTCCCTACTTGTGGAACATTTGCATGTTTATGTGATTGGGATTTGGGGGAAGGGCGGTTCACCGGCTGGCCAGGTGTACTATTTTGGCATGGAGACGGACTATGCAGTAGGGCTTCTCAGTTTCAGCTCCACGTGGGTGTGAGGGGAGGTTGAACGGCGCGCTTTGGAATGAGTTGGACAGACAGCTTGCGGCCACCTGCTGCGTAGTTCAAACGAAGATGCTCCCTCATTACGAAGTCATGGAACAAAAAGGTAGCAATCAGCCACAAGGACCTGGCCTGCTTTTCGACCTGCGCACCCTCAGTGGCTTGCGCGCGTGCGCCGGTGCCCACTTTCGGTGTCGGCTTTCTACGCTTTCCTGGGACCCCCAGGACTTGGTTCACCGTAACCCGGCAGGTCCAGAAGAGGTTTCCGGCCTTCCGCGCCCAGAGTCACATTTCCGGCCAACGTGAGGTCATGGCCATGGAGCTGATGGGCCCATCCTTGGAGGAGCTGGGGGTCGATGGCGTGTCGGGGGTCGCGAGCGCGCTGAAGGTGCGGCAGGAAACCATGTTGCCGGCTGACTTATATCGGCCCAGGATTCGGAGCTTTCGGAGCTTTGGTCGACCCCCCGGAGAACCGGAGAACCCTGTAGACTCGTAGACGCCTTTGATCCTCTCGAACGCCTGGTGAAGCGCGATCATTCATTGGCTTTTCGCCCGAGGGGCAATGGGCCAGAGGGGCCCGCGTGAGACAAGTGTCCCTGAGGATGTGTTCAACCTCTGCCGCCGGAAGCTGTCCCTGAAGGCGGGGAGTCACAGGAGGGATCAGGAGGGATCTCCAAGGGAACTCTCTACGTTGGGTTTTGAGTGGCCAGATTTCTTGGCTGTAATGTCTCCGCCGAACTCAAGATGTGCCCTTCTTGCTGGTTTGCTTTGGGAGCATCCCGTCAGGTTTCCAAATCTAGGGCCTCCACATGAGCGAAGGGTGGGCCCCAAGCAGCCTGAAATCAACTCGGACCTTTGGCAGTCCACCCTCATGCTGGCAGACCAGCTGCTGCTGCGGCCGCTTGTCCTTGGGACAGTCCTTGCGGCACGCCAGATTGGTGCTTGCCACTTCAGCACTTGGATTCGTCCATGATAATTTGCCGTTTCTTGCCTTGTGCAAGCTCCAGTCCGCCCAAGTGTGGTCTGAGAGGGCCGCTTTTCAAGGATTGAGTACTTCCACAGTCGCCACTACATCCATCGTGACATCAAGCCAGCATCTTGGCATGGAGAAATCCCCATTCCCCAATTGATGTATAGTTCTAGGGGCCCACAATCATTGACGGCCGGGCCCTTTTGCATTTCCCATGGCTTCCCGTGTGAAACCGGGCCCTCCAGTTGACTTCCCGCCAGGGCGTTTTTTTTGAGAGCTTCGGGGCCTCGGGGCCCGATGGCCGTAAGGACAACTTTCTGATCGGCCGTGGGCAGAGGTCAAACATCGCCCGGCCCTTGGCCCGGATTTTCGTCTCAGTAGGCAGATGCGATGATTTCGCCGCCCACAAATGGAGGTTCCATTTGCTCCATTCAGAGTTGGAATGCCAGCGAACAGGCATTGCCCGCGCAGGGGCTTGCACGGCTGAGGTGTACATCATAGACTTTGGTTTGGCCAAGAAGTACCGGAATCCAGAGACGTTGGTCCATGGGCCTGCTGCTTAAAACACACGCGCTAGCTTTGGCGATGCTGCAGAGAGGGAGTTTTGGGGAGTGACCGTCTTTCGTCGGGTTGGAACCCTGAATTTCATTTTGGTCCTTCTCACCATTCTGCTGTAAGTGTTTGTATGTGACCTCTCAGTCTAAGGCTGGCCGGCGATACTTTGAGAAAGTAGGGCTTCGCGCAAAGCGTGGCTCCTCAACAATGGTCTTTTGAGCTTTAAGCTAGTTTGCTTGATGCATACAGAAAAATATGAGGCCGGATGGTAGCGGTCGACCACATGTTGGCACATTTGCACTTTGGCTTGCAACACGCTCCTGCTGTACTTGCCGCCTTTGCTACACATTGAACCTGCCCTGGTGCATCTTTCAGCGGCCTCCGGTGTTTTGGTGGGCTGTTCCTGTTCCGGGGGCCCACCCGTAAATCGTTTGGCTTTTCCGCGGGCTCAACACCACTTCGCGCACGCAGTCCGAAGCTTCGCGCGGGTGGCATTCTGGCCGTTTTCTTGGGCACCCACTCCCCAGGTGCCATGGTTGGCTTCCCTGCGTTTCCTGCCCACTCGTACGCGGCACGACGTGCGAGTGGTTTTGGTCCAATTCCCAGGCCCTACCGGGAGAACAAGAATCTCACGGGCACAGCGCGGTACGCGTCCTTGAACGCCCACCTGGGCCTGGAGCAGAGCCGGCGCGATGACCTGGAGGCCATCGGCTTTGCACCTCGGAACCGTGGGGGCGGGGCGGCTGGTCGCTCGGTCGGTCGGTCGGTCGGTCGGTTGGTTGGTCGGTCGGTCGATTGGTTGGTTGCGGAGTGGTTAAGCACGAGTTTTTTTTTGGGTTTTCCTTGGTTGTCTTGGGGTGCGTTGGGTTCGCAAGGTGGCGCCGGCCTTGTGCACGTTAGTCTTTGTGAGCCTGCCAGGTGGGACAAAAGGGCGCTTGGATAGATACGACTGTGCTTGCAGGGCGGCGTCATATAATTATTTCACCATTGATGACGGGCACATATGACATCATGTGGGTTGCTCATTGGATGGCAAGCCGCTCTCCGGAGCAGGGCCCAGCTCTGGGTGTTCAGGGCAGGCTCTAGTCACTCATTGCCAGCTTCCGTGGCAGAATGTTTACATGTGCCATATCTGGGATGCCGGGGGCCCGTGAGCATCTCTCTTGTGTGCTGCCTGCCAGCCCAGGTCCTGGTGTACTTCTTGAAGGGCTCTCTGCCATGGCGCGGTGACCGCACATCTAGAGGGTCGTTCAGTTGTGGGGTTCCCTGAAAAGGCGCACCTGGGCGCCTCGTGCAAGCTGGGCTTGGACCCAGGACCTTCGCATTTGCAAGTTGATGTGGCCTACGGGCGTCGGAAGATCATGTAATTCTTGCAGCTCTGTTGCCAGCCGTGGACAAGCGAGCAGCGTTCCGCCGTCCGATGTTCATGTGAGCTTGCGCTTCTGGCCGAGCTCAACGCCCCGCTCTTCGCCCTTGATCCATTTCCAAGAAAACCAGTAAGGCTGCCCTTCTTGTTGAAGCATGCCCCATGTTAGTGCGACATGCCCACTTTCCACCCAGCACCCTCCTTGCTGAATTGTTGGTGAGGTGCATCGGGCCTACCGTTGGCCGGCCGAAGCGCAGACGGTACTGTTGGTACCGTTTGGTCTCTGAATTGTCTAGCCTGGGTCTGGCAGGTAGCACAGATGTGCAAAATTCCGCCATCCTGCGCAATTCTGAGCACCCCCCCCTGAGCATGGAAGAACTTACAAGGAATGCCCGCCTCTTTAAGTCCCACAGGGGGCTGTGAGACTCAAACGTGCCAATGACAGCCGCATGAGGCAGGGCATCAAGGCGGATGGCAAGGTGGACAAGTGCCCCGGGGCGGGAGGGCGGCGGTTTCGGGAACTTGGGTCGTTGGCTAGCATTGGTTTCTTCAAGGCAGTCGCGTCGAAAACTTGCACAAGCCTGGCGGAGGTTTTTCGGCGATTGGTCGGTGGCTGGCTTCATCTTTGTTTCGTTGGCCTTTATGCAGCGTGGTGGTTTATCGGTGGGCATATTTTCAACTGGGTCACTGTGGGCGAGTCACACTTCTGCTGCCACATGAAAGTCCCCCAAAAGCTTTGCCCTTACCAGGCCTTGATGTTGCCTAGGTTCCAGGTGCGAAGTGACGTCTTATAGAATGAGGGTGGTGGTCGCCCACAGGGATCTCTGACAGATGGGAGAGGTGTCCCTCATCTGCCGATGCTCATGGTTCATAGTCGGCTGGCAGGAGCCATTGCATGAACATCCGGATCTGCATTTCAGAATGCTGCCCTGGCCGGGTTTGCCATCATGCATCACCTATTCCAAGTGGCCCCTTCCAGCACTCAGGTTGGCAAAAGGAAAACCGGGGTGAGGTATGCCGCCATCATGGAGAAGAAGATCAGCATGAGCTTCACGGAGCTCTGCGAGGGCCTGCCAGAGGAGCTTCCGGGAAGCGGGCTTGCGGCTTGCGGAGTCCGCATCGCGCCACCGAAACTTCGCCGAAGGTTTTAGGGTCAACAGGTGTGTGAGTTCTGCACCTGCCGTGCTCGTGTGTGCTGGATCAGGCTTCGATGAAACTGGGCCAGTTTGGTAGGCCTGGTGGTGTCTCTGAGTTTGGTGTTAGACAGGAAGTATTCGCCACTTCCAGCTGGTTGCAAGGTCACGCGGGTGGATAATCCCAGAGTCACCGCGCAGGGTTTTCCGGATATCAAGATTTGCTTTGTTCGTGAACAGCCAGCTGCTGTTTGAGGGTGTCAGGTGTCAGTGTTTGATGGCATGTGCTGCATGCATTGTGCATGCAGGAGTTCGCAACGTTCCTTGCGTATGCACCTTGGGTTGCATGTTTCATTGCCAGCCGTTCCAACATGCGTGTTTGCCTGCATTGGCCACTGGGCCACAATCAAAATCCGGGTAGATTGAGGTTGGTAAGGGACACTCCCAACCAGAAATGGGTGCAGCCGCCTCTTTAATTCTTTACATGTTCTGGGTAGACCATTCTAGTACCAGGTTTTGATTTTGACTCTCCATCTATAGCTGGCGGACGCAGCGCAGTGCATCTGAGACGCGGAATCTGGAGTTTGCCGAGGAGCCAGACTACAGAAGCTGAGTCAGAATGAGTCAGTGCGGCATGCTTTGGTTCCGTTTCCAAAAGGGCCTTGCTGAGGCTCCCCGTTTCTTTTGACAGCTGCAAGGGTGAGAATGGATGAACCTGGCATGTAAGGATACATGCGCTGGCTCTTCCAAAGTCTCTTCCTGCGTGAAGCGCTCAGGACATCGCAGCACGGCCCTAAGCAGCTCCCAGGGCCTTTTGCGTTCAACGCTGAGGCCAGGGCTTCCAGAACGATGGTTGCTTTGATTGGAACCTGGTGAAGAGCAGGCCAGCGGCACAAGTGGAGGAGCTTCGCGAGGCGGGGCCGTTCCTTCGGCGTGATGAGGCGTCTCAAAATGTGTCCAAAGTTGGGATGCGTCCCAGCCTTCTATCTAAAAGAGGCTGGGGCTGAGAACCACATTTAGCTGGAACAAGGGCCTTACAGCAAGCTTTGGGTGGTTTTTCAGAGCAAGCCTTCAGAGAAAAAGGGATGCGACTTTGAATCCTGGTTGGATAGCGCATGAGAAAGGCAGTTGTGCATTCCCCCATTCATCAGCCCCCCGGCATCTCCATGAACCCAGGCTTTCCCAACTTGTGGGGTGCCAGGCCCGGCTGCTGAGACAGCGGAACGCTGCAATCAGCCAGCAGGCCTCAGACCGTGGCTCGGCCTGATCTCTCCTGTGGTTCGCGGGCGCTGTTTCAGCGGCAGACTGGGGGAGGAGGTTTCTGTAGAAGTGGATTCCTTGCAGTGCAGCACTCCCACTTCATGTGTGTGCCGAGCCTTTTCCCGAAGCGCATGCGGCACTCTCCCTTTGGCCCCGACTTAAAGGGGCTAAGGGGTTAGGAAACAGGAACCCCACTGAACGGAGACTTATAACTATGACTTTTGTGCGGTTACCCACTTGCCTGACGTACCCGATCAGGATCCCGACCGTTCGGCCTCCTCAAGGAAAGTCTGCAAGCGAGGGTGAGCTTGGACCCCCCCCCCCAATTTTTCTACATGCCTCGGCACCTGAAACGTTGACAAATGAAGAGATATCCAGCTGAGGTGCGCCCGTGGATGTGGTCCTTTCGATTCGCTCTGGCTGACGCAAAAAGAGAGAGCGGCTTTTGCTGAGGCGAGTTGCTGGAGAGAGCACGTATCAACATAGGGGGAGATGGGCCGTTTCCCATTTTGGTTTTCCTTCAAAGGCACAGCAAAAGGGGCACCCTCAAAAACGCAAATCTGTAGGTGTACCCGGCCGCTTTGCGGAATGCTCGCGCTGGGGCAAAGACGTTTGTGCAGGAACGCGCGTATTTTGAACCGATGAAACCCTGCAAGCACCAAGGTCGATCATCATCGTATGCAAATGTCCTGGACTGAATGGTGATCCCTGATGAATATCCCTTCTTTCTGGCATCCCTCAGGGTCCCAGGGTTCACGAGGCTATGATCTTCTTTGTGTACCTTTTTTCTTTTCTTTTTTTCTTTTTGGGTTTCTTTACAGGGAAACCAAAAGGAAACATGATTTTGCGTATGTTGCCCAATTTGGAGACAACCCCAGCAAGGCTGGGAGTTCGTTTTTTGGACCTTGATATCCACCCCACTCCGGCCAGTAGGAACTGCATCCACCCCCTTGCAGATTTTCGTAGAGCCGCACAAGGCCCATTCTGAATTCGCACCCTTGCGTTGCAAGAGGTACTTCGAGATCCAGGACGAGTCCTCCCAGCTTATCTCCGAACAGGTGCCGATCATAGCATCCTTCAGGTCGACTGCGTTTGGATACAGTTGTACGCACAGGACATGGATGACCATCAAATCATGAGACCATACGTTTCCAGGGCCCCTCAAGGGGCTAACGGGCAGCCGCTCGACTCTCGTCCAAATCGAGAGGTGGATGCGAAGCCTGGGGACTTGGTCATGGACTACTGCGCCGGCGCTGGCGGCAAGGCGGGGGAGAGGAGGCTTGCGGCACGCCAGTCGGAGCGGTCGGAAGACAATGTGTGTTTGAAGGAAGGGAGCGGAACACCGAGTGTGCTGGAGGTTCTGATGCCAAACACAAATGTCTCTACACACCTATACACTTACAAGCCTAATTACACACCTACTCATCTAGACACCTAACTACAGGCCTGCCTACGCACCTACACCTAAACGTACCTACGCATGCTAGGATGTTTGTGCTGCACTCGCATGGCGACTGGCCGGCTGGCTAGTTCCTGCCAGACCCTGTGCATCGCCCCCAAGATGCTGAACAGAGGGCAGGTGCCAGGGTTGTTCGCATGAAACAGCCGCTTTCCGCGGGTTGGATGTCGGCCCGTGTTCTTGGTTGAAACAAACCGAGAGCCATATCTTAACTCGGAAGTCGCCCCATTAAATGCGTCAACGGGAGGTGGCCATGTCTGAATTCTTGGGCCCGTGTTTGGCTTGGGAAGGCCTGCTGGGAGCCCAAACATGCTCCTCCCTGAGCACACTTGGACGACACATCTCGCCTTTTTTTCCCCGGTTTCCTTTTCGATGAGCCTGACAAAGCTGTAGTTGCCAGGGTTGCAGTATGGCGCGACATGATACCAATGTGCCTTGCCTGTCCGTGCCAGCTTTTTATCTGCTTTGAATCAGCAGAATCCGTGGTGCTTCGTGGTTCTAGCGTGCATATAGACAGCTAGCTCGCTCAAAATCCAGGCTGGGCTCACGAACTCATGGGGGCCAACCCTGCGGACCATGTGCTCACTGAAAGGTCTCTTCTGAGACGTCTCCGGTCAGCTCGGGGCACATCTTCAGGATGGGTGAGATGATCCATTTCTCTAATTCACTCAGGAACCTGCGCCCAGCCATCAGCTCCACCTAACTTGCCAACGGGCCAAACTTCCAAAGCCGCGTGCCAAGCCGCGACTCGCCCGCCCGCCGAATCCGCGGGCCATGCCGCGCTGGTGAACTCAACTCGGCCTCGAGTCAGAGTCCCGCGCCGGGGATCGCCATGGGGGCCAACTGCTGCCGCCAGGAGCTGCCGCTGCTGCCAGGGGAGCCCACGGATTTGGACTCCCCGAGGATGACGGAGGGGCCGTCGCTGCTGGCGCCCTTGACAGAGGAGGGGGGGCCGAGAAAGCCAGAGGAAGAGTTGGGGAAGAAATGCAAGGCTTATTGGATTCAAGAGGGTAGGCAGTGGAAAGATGGCATTGAAGTTGATTGTGCAGCTTGGTGCAGATGGTTTGGCCGCCCTTGAGGATCCTGGCTCCCCACACAAGGAGATCAGCGAAGAGGACGACGAGGACGACGAGATTTGTCTTCCCCCTGGAGGCCGCTTCACGGTCATGATGTTCGGAATGACCGGCGCGGGCAAGAGCGCCCTGGGGAACCTTCTCGCCGGGTTTGAAGCCTTTGCGTCTGGCGACGACACGGCCAGTGTGACCAACCTAGACTCTGTCATGAGATATGAGGCGGGGGGGGGGGGGGCGACGCAGACGCAGGCGCCAGGTCTCAGGCCACTGCTTTGGAATCAATCGAACTACTTAAAGGGGCATTTGTACTTGGTAGGTGGTTTGTAATTCTGGTTATAACCCACTTAGGAGATTTACAACCATGGTAAGTTGGTTAGAACCATGATTATTACCTACGCCCTCCCTGATGTCTTCTGCCAGGCCCCAGATGACTCCATGATAGTTCTGGACACAATCGGTCTCGGCGACACCGAGATCGACCAGGACAAGGCGCATCGGGACTCCCAAACATGGGTGGCATGAGCTGAAGCACATTTATGACGGTTGAAACTAAAACTAGTGCCCACAACTAGAATCAACGCCCTCCTTGATACCAACCTGAACAAGCGCCTTCTGTGTTTGCGATGCTTGAGGCGACATCTAGTTCTTCCCTGTTGTTGGCATGTTTTGTGTGTGTGTGTGTGCGCGCGTGTTTTTCGTTGGTTTTGTTTTTTGACCTGTTCATTTTTAGTAGAGGGGGCTGCAAACAATTTTTTCTGGATACCATACCAATGGTTGGAAACTAGTTGCGTTCCTCAGGTGGTGGGCAGTATCCGTGACGTGGCGCTGTCCGCGGTGAACGGCGTGGACGCCATGATCTTCGTTATGCGGAACGCGCGCATCACGGACGATGCCATTGCGAGGCTGATCTACGTTACGGAGTACTTGTGGGGCTCGGAGTGTCTGCTGAACCTCTACGTAGTGGCGACTTGGCCTTTCTTTTTGGGCCCGGGCCCTGGCGTTATTCCCCTTGCTGGTTTGACAGTCGCTTAACATGGCCAACCCGCCCAAAACAACCAAAACCAGACAGACTCAGCCAAAACATGCTTTTCACCTCGCGGCCAAGCATGGACTAAAACTGGAAACGGCACATCCTACCGAAAGGCGCCCTTTCGCCCCGGACGGGCCTCAGGTGACCTTTGGCAGCAAGTACCTGGCCAACCGGCAGGAAGCCAACCTCTGGGTGGAGCGGCAGGCGGTGTGCGCGCGCGCGCGCGTGTGTGCGCGCGCGCATGTGTGTGTGTGTGTTTTGTGTGTGTGTGTGTGTTTTGTGTGTGTGTGTGTCTGTGTGTCTGTGTGTGTGTGTCTGTGTGTCTGTGTGTCTGTGTGTCTGTGTACCTGTGTGTGTTGATCTTCTTTTTTGTCTCCATTTCTTTTTGTTGTTGTTTGGGTGATGAGATGCTGTTTTCTTGTTGGTTGTTTGTTCTGTTTGTTGCGATGTGCATTGTTTTGTTTGCGTGTTTTGCTTTTTGGATTTGGTTGCTTTCCTGCTTGCTTGTTTGTTTGGTTGGGTTGGCTGGTTGGGTGTTTGTTTGTCAGCTTTTTTTTGTTTTTGTTTGTGTTGTCATTGTTGTGTTGAGATGTGATGTGCCGTGTCTTGCTCAGTCTTTTTGCTGTGCTGCATTTGTTCTTTTATGGTTTGCTGCATGCTTTGGGGTTTGTCTGCTTGTGTCAGTTTGTGAGTTTTCGCTGTGTTCTACATGTGCGTTGTGTTTTGTTTCGATAGCGGTAGTTTGTCGTGTTATGTTGCCTTGCAAAGTGTTTGGTGGGTTGGTTCGGCAGTTCTTGTTCCACAGAACCAAGAGTTCAAGAACAACTGTGGGCAACCGTGGGTATTTTCCCCTAGTTTTTCAAAGGGACGTTGGCATTGTGTTTGAAACAAAGCACGCGCATTAGGTGTTTCTAAGTAAGCCTGTTCCTTTAATGGAACGACAGGCTGGAATCAATTGCCATTCGGAAGGGCACGCTCCATTTTGACGCAGCTAGGTGGAGCTGAACTGGCGGTTCAAGCACATCTACGAGCTAGTGGGCCAGAACCCCAACAGATTCCTCTTCATAGATACTTTGGCCGAAATTTCGTTGGTTTCCTCGTTTTGGTGAACTTTCGTGTTGCCCAAGCTGGCCTCCCCTCTGAAATGGAAAAAAACACAGACATGTTGGTCCTTTCCTCTGATGTTTGAAATGTCCAGAATTCTAGGTTTTCTTGCTGGTTCTCGGTAGGGAATGAGGGAATGACCCCCATAAACCAAACCATCCATCCTATGGTTTCCTTTATGCGGGAATCCATGAAACCGGTTCATTCCCAACACCCAGCAGAGCCATTCCTTTCCTATCGCAGCGGAAGTTTTGTTCCTCCCATTCTTGCAGGGGCGATCGGGTACCTAGTAAGTAGTTAGGAAGCCTGGTTACAATCCACTGAACGGAGACTTATAACCATGGCTTTTGTGGGTTGTCTCACCAAAGTTATTACCCACTTGCTAAGTACAATGCCCCTTTAAGTAACGTTGACCGCGGAATGCATACACCCATCCTATTTTAGGGAGGCGTGTTCCCTCCAATAGTGTCCTGAATCCCCACCAAAAGGCGACGCCCTTTGAGTTGACTTCATTGAGGACAACCCCGGCACCGACAGCGGGGAGCCCAACGTGAAGCAGCGTCAGGCGGCCAGCCGCCGCGCCATCATGATGGCGCTGGCGCAGCACCCCAGGGACGTGATCCCGCCCTTCACGCACGAGGCAACAAGGGGCGAGGTCAGGCAAGTGGTTTTAGTACTCATGGTGGGATAAAGTAGTGGAGGGCCACGCCCCGCAAATAAATTGCTTCATACATACCCCCCACCCTACATTTTTTTTCATCTTCCATCTTCTACCCTTATTTGTTTTCATCATTTTTCTACATTCCTTTCTGTCCATCTCATCCGTTTTTTTATCATCATTTTTCCAAAATTTTCGCCATCCTTTTCTCCTTCCTCCTCGCCTCATTCATTTCACCATATACCTCTCAAAATGTCATTTCCTCAATCTCCTCGCCTCATCCATTTCAAAAAAATAAATTTTGCAAAATATATTGCAAAAAATATTTGTCATCAAAAAAATATTCGAACTGTCTAAAAACGATTTGTCCATTTCTCAGACAAAAAATAGAACAGCAACAACATCACTCCCCTCCTTCGTTTCATCACTTTTATCATATATTTTTTTGGGGCGTGGTCGCATAGCTTGCGAGCTTCGCTAACGCTCGCATCCTCCTTGTAGGATTTTATCTTCAATATATAAAACGCTATACTTACATTATAATTATAACATATAAGGGTATAAATGTTATTATTATAGTATGATTAATAATTATGGGTTACATTTATAGTCAGGAAAAATGTCTTCAAATATGTAATCTACATATTTATCAATATCGCCAATGTCTATATATTTGATATTGTCTTTTCCTATTATTGAATAAATATATTCCCAGAAAAACAAATTAACTAGTAGCCATACTTGATATTTAGTGTTGTAGTAAGACCATACATGATATTTAGTTATTCTAAATTCATTCAAGACCTCGTTTATTTTATCTTTACTTAATAAATGCCAATCAATCGCATCAAACATGCGTCGAAATTTTTTAACAAATGCTTTATATGGTTTAATTGCGCTTGTCCCTCCAAACCTTTTAATCAAATCTTTATTATTGAAGAACTCATCAATTTCTTTTTCAAATGACTTTCTTGCAATTTTATGACAAAAATATACAGGAAATCTTTTGTGATATTTCATAAAGAATTTCAATTGTAATTGAAACTTTGTATATCCCTTATCCTTATATTTTTCAACAAAAATCTTTTCAAGGTCTCTTGTTATACAGCATTGATTACAATATACATCATATTCACTTATTTTACTACACAGATTAGCAGGTAATAACTTATACAATGTTGTATTAACATCATTCCTTTTAGTTGTACAACATTCGCACTTTGAATAATTAAATAGCATTTCTATTATAATATATATTATCTTTATTTCTTTAAATACTTTTTTACAAGAAATAAAATTACATATTGAAATATAATTATAACATATAATATTTTACATGTTATTATTATATTATGATTATAATTTAAGTTCAGGATAATAATTTAATTGATACATCTTCCCTCTTTCATACATCATTTTAAAAATAAGATTTATATCTCTCACTGTATTTTTAACATTAAACTGTTCACTTTCAATATATGATTTTATGACTTTTTTTACATCAACGCCGGGTTTACTATAATAAATCAACATCCATAATATGTCATTAATCATTTCACACTTTTTCTTACTGATTTTAAGAAGCTGTTTAACATAATCGTAAGGTGGTCTTTCATACACAGTTAAAAATATCAATATTTCATCTTCAACATTTCTTTCATCTATATTTTTAAACGCCAAACAATTTTCTATTATATTTTGATATCGTCTCCATCTTCTACAAGTTCTACATATATGTTCTTCGTCCAAAGAATAATCAATAATATTATTAACTATTCCATTAGGTAAATTCAATTTATACAATTCCATGTTTTCTTTTTTTAAGTGGCAACAATCATAGCATTTCTTATTGATATAATTATTGATTTCGGTTTCCATCATTTCTATTATAATATATATATAGTTTTTATTTCTTTAAATACTTTTTTCCAAGAAATAAATTTATACCTTTAATAACTCATGTCTCAAAAATGCCCTGTCATAATTTTCAATATAATAATATTCCTGTCCTAACTTCTTTTCAATCTTTGCTATTTTGTATGTTTGTTTAGTCCATACTCCTACTCTCTCCTTTTCATTTGGTCTCCTTTTCCTGAATATCTTAACTTCATTTCCTACATTTAAATCTGGATAAACTCTATTTCTTTTGGCTTTCATACCTAAATTTAAACTCACTTCTAATTGATGTTTAGGCTTTCTTGCTTCTGACGGTGTTAAGCCGTGCGAAGTGTGCTTTATTCCATTGTTATAAGTTAATATAATCTCGTGTATGTAGTCTGTCCATTGAATAACCTTTCCTTTTTTCTCATCGTTTTCAACCCTCTTATACAAGCTATCTTTAAACGTCCTTATCGCCCTCTCCGCGAATGCTGGGTGACCTCTGGTTCTATGTAATTCTATTTTTTCATCTTTCAAAAAATCTATAACACTTTGATTGTTATAAGCTCCTTCATCGTCAATATAAATTAGTTTGGGCTTTCCACCCATTTTTTTAATACATTCCATCAGTCCTGCTAAAATGTCCGCTGGCTGTTTTGACATAAGCGGGACAACAACCATATACTTAGAAAATATGTCAATACACATCATGCCAACTTTCATTTTTTGTTTAGGGATATCATTAATGAAAAATAAATCAATTTGAAACTCATAATATGCGTTAGGAGCTACAAATGAATTCTGTCCTCTTGGCTTGGCTTTCTGTTCTACATTCTTCCTAAAAAACTCATTAATATCGTTTATAGTAATTGATTTATCTTTTTGTCTTGCTTCTTGTAAAGTGCGGTTCTTTGACCCGAAGCCTCCTTTATCATAATAAACATTATTAATAATATCTTGCTTAGATGCCATATAAAATAAGATAGATATTATTTTTCCCGGCGATTACAGTTTAAACAGTAAGATATACAGTTTTCCTTATGATGGGCATAATCGTTGTTTATTCGTTGGGCTGTCATATTGCTATTTATTACTCCATTATTTATTTCTATGTCAAAATCTGAACTGCATTTATTACATCTTGTTCCAATTCTGTTAAGCAACCATTCAACATCTATATATTTATTTTCATTTATCTCCCTTTGAGACTTCATGTCTTGTAATTTATATTGTTTAATCTTATGTTCTAAATATCTGGTTACTTGTGCTTCATTTAAATCAGTATCATCTACGTCTGCTTTGAAAAACTTGACTTTATTGATATCTCTGCATCTCGTGAGGGCTGTCCAAATCCACTCACGGCTGACCAAATGCGATTTATCCCATTCGTGTATAGTAATGCTTTTATCTAGAGAAGCCCCTTGAGACGAATGACATGTAGCACAATACGCATGTATAAAGTGCTTGTCTAAAGTCGTGGTGTTTGTCATGAATATAGTTTTACTTTTGATATCTTGGATTTCTACTTTCCAATCATCAATACTAATAATTTTATAAGTAATATTTACATTAAACACCTGCCCCATTTCTTTTTTATAAACTCTGCATATCACATGCTCTCCAATTTCATATTTATCTGTCTTTCCTAAATTATTTCTTACGGTCTTGCTTACCCATTTGCACCTAGCATTAGTATAGGCTATGTTATGCTCTCCTTCCATGATGTCGCTTGTAGTTTCAAAATGTTTATTTACTATTTCCTTAATGGGCAGTTTATTTTTCCAAATGTCATTATATATATCATTCAATTTAATTTTATCTTCTTCTGTCTTAAGTCTCTTAGATATCTTAAGATAAATCTTATATTTAAATATTTGATTAAGACAGTTGTTTAAATATGTCTCGTGGTCCTGGGTGTTAGTTAAATCAGCTATAGGTTTCAACTGCTTCCCGTCAGCAGTTCCTATAATTATCTTCTCTGGGTATGTATCCTTAAACTCCCTAACTCTGTTCAAAATATAATTGCCCGCCATACCTAGCTCATCGAACACAATACAATTATAATCAGAATGGTCAAATGTCGGTAGTCTTTCTCCAGCTTCTATTGGAATACTGAAAAACTTGTTTAATGTTACGGCACCGGCTTCGGTTTCTTGCTTCTGCTTGTTATTAGAACATACGAATAACACATTATAACCTAGATTTTTCATATATTCGCCTATATAACTCTTGCCACTTCCAGCCAGTTTTGCTTTTAGTAAAACCGGATGACACGACACAATTTGCTCACAAATGCTTTTGGTGTCGTATTCGTCTTTAACACGAATTTTTACATTATTGTAAGTCGGAATTTCTGATAACTCATTAACCTTGATTTTGTATATATCACTCGGTGGCGATACTTGTTTATTATCTTCAGCTCTCCATCCTCCCCTTTTGGTTGAAAACTTAATCAATGTTTTGGCCTTGTCAATATTTTTCCTATCAATAATGAAGGCATCGGTTTTAACACTATGCACATTGATATTGTTGTTTTTCAATGTTTTATAATCTTTATGCATTTTAAAATTATGTCGTTGCATGAGTAGCTCTTTAATATACCTAAAGCCATTGGTTAAGTCTTGTTTATGTGTCGTTGTCAATGTGTAATATTTGACTTCTGACTCTTTCTCAACGTTTTTGATATCGTATTTTTTACCATCTATAATTTTATAACATTGACGACAATGATTGTGATAATACATATTATTTTTCCAAAATTTATATGTACCATCATTAGAATTCCGGTACCTATCATCATCATTATCATGAGCCTTAAATTCTAAAACCCATCCCTCGCCTCTTTCCTGTTCTAATTCTTTAATATATTCATCTGTCATCTCTGTCAAAACCTTATCATCATAAAATCCACTAATCTTATTAATTCTTCCCCCATACAGATTTTGATGATACAACGCTTCACTTAATGTATCAAATACTAAACTCTTCTGAGACTTGTTAGTTCCCTTTTCTAACAATCCGATATTTACATTCGAAATCAACTTTTTAACCTTGATGTCTTCACCTAAATTATTTGATATGTTAGTCTTCCATAGGTTCTCAAC